TTTCCCTTCTGCAGACTCTTTTGCAGGGGTTACTGAAGAACAACTTCTGCAATCACTCACTCGAGTCCATAGCTTAAAGTCTGTAGACATTGACAATTTTCACCTCCCAACTTTGCCTAAACCTCCGAATTCCTTTCGAGGCATCCGGATGAAGACCTTATCATTCAAGCGATGGTTAACAATATGTTCTGATGATTCAATAAAGTGCGTATTTTTTAATAACCCATATACTTTAATTTATTGGGGATTTTTTTTTGTTCCTGATACTGATTATTGCTTTTGTGACTTTTATTAGAGAAGGGAGCTTCAGACAGACTGTTAATCTTCTTTGCAAGTACCTTGGAGATTTTTTGATAGCTTCATATCTTGATGTTGTTCAAGAATCGGGCTATGACAGTGTGTACATTAGGGAAATCGAGGTAACTTCTTTTTATAGCACAACACGTTTTATAAGAGTGAATGATGTTCATAAGAACCTTTTTTGACCTAGTGTGGATTATTTGTTTGCTTTACAAATCATTCCACTTAAAAGCTCTTTTATTAAGGTGCTTTAGATTTATGATTATGCATTGAGTGATATTGACTTACTACACAAAGTGATTTTCTGCATATAGAGAGCGGTTATCTTGCAAACTATCGATTGCTTTTGGAGGGACCACCTTGTGAATATGAACAGACTTAGTTCGGCGGTATTTACTTTCTCAACTTTATGTTTGTTATTATATCTTCTCTATTGACCATCGAAGTACATAAAATTTTGATTTTTTTGCCGCTGTGTGATGTTTGTAGGTGAATGTACGAAGCTTTGGGCATAGGAATCCGCTAGAGGAATATAAAATTGATGGTTGTCGATTTTTCATTTCTATGTTGAGTGCCACACGTCGGGTGACTGTGGAGTCACTATTACGGCACTGGACTTCCCCTATGGAGATTCCCGAACTTTAAGTATAATGATACAAGCGTACCATTTTTCAAGCTAAAGGTACGACTTACGAGTAGCTTCTGACTTATTCTTGTGTTGCTTAGTTTTGAACGACGTAATTTTTTGGAAAAAAAGGATTGAAAGCTAGACATTTAGCTGCAAAAGAAAAATAAAAGCTTTTTTTGAAAGGTAATTAATTTAATTCCAAAACGAAAGAGTATATAAAAAAAGAGTTCGACTTAAATTTATCAGAAGCTGTTTCGAAAATAGAAAATGAAAATGAAGTATAACCGCAAATGTTTAATGGCTGAGGTTAAATTTTTAGAAGTAAAATTTTTGGTATTCTGGTAACTAGCACTATTCATAGTCGTATAATTGCATAACTATCCATAAGCTTTAGTCTATCTTACATGAAATTCCAGTCATCGTTTAAAATTTACAAATAACACGGTAACTACATTGCCTCCTTATCACATGTCATGGAATTATTTTAAACTTTTGAGGATAACCCTTTTATCTCTTTGTACTGAATGATGCTAAACATCAAGGGTAGTATTCGTTATTACTCTAATTTTTTTAACATGGACTATTACTTGTATTGAGAGTGGTGTACTTTCATAGTTCCATTGTCCTTCGAAAAACATTGACTCAAGAAATTTTTGACCGTTGTATTAGACAGGAATTGTTAGCTGATTGCTACAATCTAAGTCAAGATACAAAAATGTTCAACAGCTTTGGGTATATGATTGTCAGGAACGACACACAATAGCTGCTGACATTTGGTTGACTCGTAGTCTCGGGCTCAGTTGAATAATGTTGAAAATGCAAGTTCTCAGGCCTACCATCTTTAACAGCTCGGGTTTCTGATCGTGATAAGGTTTGAACAGGTTAGTGACTGTATAGTAAGATTGTCTCAAAAGTCATAAATTTTAATTCAGAGATGACAGATGAAGAAGGAAAAAAAAAAAAGATGAAGCGCATTTGCTTCGATCTTGAAATGCCATGTACATTCGATATGTGTTGTTGTCTGATTCTCAAGGTTTGATGTATGGATAAATATTTGCTGTCATGCTGTGTTCACTGTTCAGGTAACTAACTAAACAACTTCTGATTTTGCCACAAATTTTGGGTGCAACAATGAGTTGCCAACAGGTTGTACCTTAGGCCATCTCCAACCGAAAATCCTAGGGGTGGGCAAAAAAATCGGATTTCCCGATCCCGAACTGGACCGAAATGGTCCCGTTCCGAAAAAATAGGGTTCCAATCGGTTTTTAAAATTTTTGTCCCGGTCCCGGTCCCAAACCGGTTGAAACAATGTCGGTATCGGTTTTTAATATTTTTTTCCCAAACCGTCCCGTTTGTCCCGTTTTATCTTTTTTGTACAAAAATATTATATATATATATATTATACATTAATTTATATTTATTAATGAAATCTTAACAGTNTTTTATTAATGAAAGGAAAGCCCAATTCACTTGTCTGTTAAGACAATTGGCCCAAAAAAATGAAAACATTAAATAATAAAGTAATACACATTAAGTCATTAACATTTATATTTACGGGCACAACGCACAGATTACAGAATCCAAATTTCCAAATTCCCAATTCAATTTCTCTTCTCCATCTCGGCATCTCCATCGCGCCGCCATTCAAATCGCGATCAGCACCTCCAATGTCGCCATTTTTTTTTTTGATTTAGTTCCCAAATTCAGAATTAAAACCCTAATTCAATATATACAGCTCTGTGCTCAAGTTTTAATCCTCAAATCTCAAATTCCCAATCAAAAAATCAAGAACCCTAATTTCCAAATACCATGTCTAAATCCTGCGGCACATCTCCGAAAATTCCTACAGTTGGGAGGCATTCACCGATAATGGAAACTCCACCAACACCAAGCAGTGCTTCTAATCCCGTGCCTGTGGTGGTGCAACCCGCAAATATGCCAACCGGGCCGAATATTCTATATGAGCTTCCACCAGGTATGAAGGCTAGGGTTTATAGGTCCTCCATTTGGGAACATTTTACTACTTATTGGGTTAGAACTGTTAAGAAAGTTAAGAATCTAGAATCGGGGTTGATTGAAGATGTTGAATATAAAGAGAGGGCTAAATGCAAATATTGTCCAAAGGGACAAGGTGATTTTGCTGCAGAGAGTGGACCAAATGGGACTGGGGGACCTAACAAGCATATACCTAAGAAATGTAAATGTTATCCTGCCAATATTGATTTAAGCAAGCAAAAAGTTATAACATGGGAAAAGGGAGATTATAACCAACTTGCTTGTAAAGGTTTTGATAAAAAACAAACAATGCAGGCTTGTGTGGAAATGGTAGTTCTTGATGAATTGTCATTTAATTTTGTGGAGAAAAAGGGGTTTAGAAAGTTTTGTGCCACAGGAATGCCATTGTTTAAGGTCCCATCTAGGAGAACTCTTGTCAGAACTTTCTTAGATATGTATGAAGCTAAGAAAGAACAACTAAAAAAAGATCTTGTTTCCCAAAGAGTTTGCTTAACCACTGATACTTGGACCAGTGTCCAAAACTGCAACTATATGGTTTTAACAGCCCATTTTATTGATTCAAATTGGAAAATGCATAAAAGGGTGTTGAATTTTTGTGTTATTACCAACCATCAGGGGATTACTATAGCTAACTTAATTGAACAATGTCTAGCTGATTGGGGAATTGATAAAGTTTTGACTGTTACAGTGGACAATGCTTCTGCCAATAAGGTAGCTTTAGAGTATTTGGTTGAAAAGCTAAATGATTCTGTGAATTCACCTTTGATTTTGGGGGGGAAACATTTGCACATGAGATGTGTGGCACACATTACAAACTTAATTGTTGGCAGTGGTCTTAAAAAGCTGAACTCTACAATTTTGGCAATTAGAAATGCTGTAAAGTTTGTAAGAAGCTCACCATCTAGGTTGACCCTTTTTAAGAAGGTTGTGGTTAGGGAAAAAATTGATTACAAGGGATTGGTTTGCTTAGATGTGCCAACAAGATGGAATTCAACAAATTTGATGTTGGATTCTGCCTTGAAACTCAAAAGAGCATCCAAAAGAATGGAACAAGAGGTGGACAACCCATATCTTGCATACTTTAATGAGCCTGATGAGGAGTTTGATGATGATGGAAATGTAATTGTTCAGAAAAAGGACAAAAAAGAAATTTGGGCCACCAAGGGATTCAGATCAGGATGCATGTGAACATTTTATAAGCTTTCTTCATGTTTTTTATGATGTCACACTTAGGGTAAGTGCCTCTAATCACCCAACCATTCACACTACCTTTTATGATATTGTTAACATGGAATCAGCTATGAACAACAAATCAATATGTGCCCCCCTTACTGCAACTCATAGATTAATGGCTGACATTGCGTCACTCATGAAAACCAAGTATAACAAATACTTTGGTCAACTGAAGGATATGAACCCTTTAATTTTTGTGGGAATTGTGATGGATCCAAGGTTTAAGATGAAGCATGTCACTATATTATTGTCTGTTGAGTTGATGTGGAGTGATTATGAAGTTGAGAAGAAGGAAAAAGAGATCAAAGAACTATTGTTTGAGTTGTTTGAAGAGTATAGTGCACAAAATGATAGAAGTTTGAATAAAAGAAGTGTAGAGTCAGTGAGTAGCAGCAACAACATCATGAAGAGGCAAAAAATGAAAGACAATGATTCAAATGTTGGGAGTAGGGTTAATATAGGCAACAACAACTTGAAGTATGTTGTTGATTGGACCAAACATGTCACAGAAACTGATGAGGCAACAATAGAGCATGAGATTGATGCATATCTGAAAGATCCTTTGTTAGCCATTAAGGATAAAAAAGGTGATGATCTTGCTGCTGAGGATGTGATAGAGAAATACAAATCCTTTGATATATTGCAATTGTGGAAAAATGCAGCCTCCCGGTATCCAGTTCTTTCTACACTTGCCAAAGATATTTTTGCTATTCAAGTATCAACAGTGGCTTCTGAGAGTGCTTTTAGCACAGGAGGGAGAGTGATTGCTTCATTTAGGAGTTCATTAACTCCTAAATCTGTGGAGGCCTTGATTTGCATGCAAAATTGGCTTAGAGGAGATGAAATAGTCATGGACTTTGAGAATGAACCTTCAACTCAAGAGTTAGAATTCTATGAAAATATTGAGACAGGTACTATATACTTTTTCAGTTTCATTCTTGATTTCTTTCAGTTTCAGAATTTGATTGTTGATTTTATAATTTATTTTTAGTTTCATACTTTGATTATTGCTCTTTTAAATTATAAAGTAATAATTCAATTTGTTTTCCATTTTGTAGAGTTGTACAATGCTAAAATGTCTGCTGGGGATAAGGTGATTGATGTGGAAAGCTTGGAAGATGAAGATGGTGGTTATGATGATTGGAATTAGGCTGAAAGCAGGTTATGATGATTGGAATTAGGCTGCTTTGCTTTCAGTTTGAATTTTGAAGTATTGTTCATGTTTGTGATAGACTGAAATCAGTAGTATGTACCCTATGGCCTTTTGTTTTAAGACAATGTTTAATTTACTTTTTGGTGTAAGTTACTAAGTGTAAGACTGTAAGTGAACTTTGGAATGGTCAATGGTTGCAGATTTGATTCATTTGAATGCTTGGTTGTAGCTTTATGAATTGTAACTTAAGACTGTAAGACAATGTTTCTTGGCCTTTTGAATGGAATCAAAGTTTATTTATTTATTTTTTAAGTGAAACAGCCAAACAGGCCATCAGGAAATAGTTTAGTTTGAAGTTTGATTTTTGATCATTTTTTTTTCCCGTTTTGTCCTGGTCCCGGTTGATACCGTTTCGTTTGGAACGAGTTGTCGTCCCGGACCAATTCAAAAAACCGGGACAGGTACCGGGACAGGTCCAATCCCGGACTGTCCCCACCCCTAGAAAATCCCATACTCAAACCCATTTTGCAGTAACTGTCACATTTTGCAGAACCGAAAAACTCATTTTCAAACTCAAAAGAGTATTATGGGAATATTCTCTTTCACATATACTTTTACAACTTTTCAATACTACCCACATATTTTACAAATTTACAAATTAGAATCATTGTCACTTTATATTCCATGGAAAAAAGTATAATAAATTAATTATAGGTTAATAGTTAGTAGTCATAATATTTTATTATTTTATACCTTTTATAGAAAAATAATAAATTAATTATAGCTTAACAATTCATACACAAAAATAATAAAATACATGTTAAAATAAGAGAAAAAAATACTATTTTCTTGTTTTAAACTTAAAAAAATTACCATAATGTTAATAAATTTATTATAAACCTTTTTTTTTTTTCAGAACGGAAGGGAATATATTATAACTCCAACTGGTGAACAATGTTCAAATACAAACGCGACCAAAAGCCGAAAAGAGAAAACAGGGAGGACACGCTATAAAACGGCCTAGAAGTCCCATAGACGGGAACAGGACAAAAACAAGAAAAAATACATACAAGGACTAGTCATACAATAGCACTGCCAAATGCCTACTACAGCTGACTAAACCCCTATCAGAAAGGGGAGGAGAAACCTTAAAAAACACCCAGCAAGACCAAAAGAACTAGAACAAACAAAACAGGACAACTAAAAAGGAAGAAAGGAAATCCTACTAAGTATTTGCTGCCAAGAACTCCAGCCAATCCTTGTTAGCCGCCAAGACAGCTACTCTTGCCGGCAGGTGCTTTGCTTGGAAAATCC